AAATATTGAAAATCCAAGTATACAGTTTTTTTTGTATTCTTTTTGAGAATATACAAACTAAGTTTGAAGGTAATTGGATGAAAATTGTAGATTTTTCATACAAACGTTGGAGCCCGTTTTCCCCCCTTTGGCGTTCGAATTTTCCGAAACCCCTTCTTAGTGCTCACTTTCACTATAAGAGGGATCTTGTGTCCAAATTTCAGCTTCCTAGCTCTTACCGTTTGGGCTGTGCGTTGATTGCCAATCAGTCAGTCAGGACAAACTGTTTTATATATATAGAGACTAGCAGGTCTTGCCCGTCTTTGCTGGGCTAAGTAAAATGTGCTTATAAATATATATAATGTGGATTTTTCAACAAACTTTGGAGTTCGTTTTCCCCATTTTGGAGCTGAAATTTTTAATAATCCCTTCTTAGTACGCACCTACACTATAATAGGATACTTGACCCCAGCTTCCTAGCTTTTACCGTTTGGGCTGTTGTCCTGGTTTTCTTTTGCGCCCAAACAAATTTTATAGATTATAAAAATTAAATTTAAAGTTGATCGGTGCAGAATGCAGAATTTTCAAACACACTTTGGAACACCTTGTGGGCACCTTCACTATGATAGGATCCTTGAGCCCAAATTTCAGCTTCATAGCTGTTGCCGTTTGGGCTGTGGACTGTTGACGCGGTTTCCTTTTGTGCTTCCTTTTTTTACAGGAAAACTCCTATATTTCAGTCCTCAAATAATACTTCAAAATACCAAGTATACAGTTTTTCTTGGAATTTTTCTGAGAGTATACAAACTAAGTTCTTAGTTAATCAGATGAAAATTGCAGATTTTTCATACAAACGTTGGAGCCTTTTTCCCCCCTTTGGAAAGGATACTTGAGTCCAAATTTCAGCTTCCTAGCTTTTACCGTTTTAGCTATACGTTGATCACCAATCAGTCAGTCAGGACAAACTGTTTTACATATATAGAGATTGAGAAACCACGTTTTAAGTCGATCGGTTGAAAAATGTGGATTTTTCAAACAGACTTTGGAGCTCGTTTTCCCCCCTTTGGAGCTCGAATTTTACACACTTCTTAGTGCACACGTACACTATGATGGGATACTTGAGCTCAAATTTCAGCTTCCTAGCTCTTACCGTTTGGGCTGTGAGGTGTTGATTGTGTTTCAATTTTTACACGGGAAAAACCCCCAAGTATGCAGTGTTTTTTGAATTCTTTTATAGATTACACAAACCCTGTTTGAAGCCAATCAAATGAAAATTGCAGATTATTCATACAATCTTTGGAGCCCGTTTTCCCCCCTTTGGCATTCGAATTTTCCAAAATCGCATCTTAGTCACCTACACCATAAAAAACAATTTTTGTCAAAATTTCAGCTTCCTAGCTCTTACCATTTGGGCTGTGCGTTGATTTCAGATAGCTTTTCGTGATCCCAATCCTCGGGAAAAACCCTACATTTCTGGCCCCAGGAAAAATAGCGAAAAACCAGTCAGTCAGTCAGGACAAACTGTTTTATATATATTTATACATATGTATATTTATGCACTGTATGTACATTTATGCACTTGCATGTAGGTACATCCATGTCGCAAGCTTGACGTTTGAATATACACACAAGTCGACAAATGCAGCCGCAATTTCCAATTGATTATTTGGAGAAAAGATTCCACAGAGCCACTTAAAGTATACCGACTAAACACGGTAACATATGGTACTGTTTCGTATTCGATGCCTTAAATACTTAAGCTGCACGCAGATTCGCATCCAATGGCTTTTAAATCTCTGGCCAGCGACTTTTATGTGGACCTGGTGCAGAAACTGTGGAGGAGTTGCAGTAGCATACGTCGAACTAAACTTAGTTTTAAAGCCATTTGGATTTATGCTCACCAAATGGTCATCAAATTGCGAACAGTTTCAAATTCTGACGACCTTCTCATAGGCGTAGGCGGATACCAAAACGCTTGGACTAGTTTTGAGTCCTCGTGATTATGTATTCCGGTACTGTGTTTCGAAGTTGTAAGACCCACTTGGTCTGCTGTGACCAATAATTACGCGAGAAAAAATTTTAATGAAGGAGCTTTGGCTTCAAAAATTTTCTCGGAACGACCAAATACCCAGTCCGCATTATGCAGACATTTGAGAACAAAGCTCTCCGCACCGTCACCAGCGCTCATCCTCTGCACGACAACGACACTATTCATGAAGTCCTCAGCTTGCCTTGGGTGAAGGACGAAATTAAGAAAAGCAGCAAGCTCTACATGCAGAGGCTACATGACCACCCCAACAATTTGGCGATGAACTGCTGGACAACAGCGAACGGCCCAGGAGGCTGCTCAGGACCCATCCTCTGGACCTCTCCAGGGACTAGCGAGATATTCCAACTTCATAATAAATGAAATAATAAATTGTCAAGCTTATTTAACCAATTTAATGATTGTCCACGATGGACAGTTTTAAATAAAACACACTCTGCTATTAAAAAAAAAAAAAATTTTCCTACAGAAGATAACCCAGCAGCTCTGGCTTCACGTGGTTGCACCACGGCCGAATTGACTGATTCGCACTGGTTTAAGGATCCACGATTCTTAAAACTAGATTGTTCCCTTTGGCCTCGTAATTTCCATTGCTTATGCCAAAGGGATGCCAATTTGGGATGTTATACTTGCAGTATTTGCGCTAGTTAGCATTCTTCGCCAACTATTTTGACTTGTCAATGCACGACAGTGTGTGTGCATTGCTTTAGGTATAAACCAATTCTAGTAAGCCAAATAATGGGAAATTAGCCCGCTGACCGATTACATGGCTGTAGCCATTTGAGGTGAGCGGAGTGGTCTTTTATGGTCCAATACCTGTCTCGATGGGAATTCATGGCAGAGCCCCACTCAAGGTGTATGTAAATAGTTGCTTGCTATACAGCTAGAAACTATTTACTACCAGGGGCTAACACTTAATTTCCGTGTAAACGCATCTCTGGGAGAACAAAAAGGAACCAATGCTTAAATTTCCAATTTCATTCTAATTTTATTTCCGAAATTCCTTCAGTATTTATACAATTTTTGTCTTATTTACTAGTTTTTATTTATGTACTAATAATTTAATATTTGACTCTAATTCTCTAAACATTGTACTTACTCCCATGGGCGTAGCCAGAATTTAGTCCAGGGGGCAAGATTTTGTTGGCCGATTTTTTACTATCAAATTATTTGCACTATACAAAAAACACATGAAAAATAGGGAAAAATTCAAAATAATGAACATTTAAATGCAATAACACGTAACAAACTTTCTAAAAAATAAGAAGATTTGTGATCGTGGAACTAATACTTGTATAAAGTTGGTCCCGTGCGACATCGAACGTGTAAAATTTAACAATTTGAAATTATGTTTTTGTTTCGACAGTTCAGAACTGAAACTGCATTTCCTGAACTGTTAAACCAAAACTATTTTGAAGAGACAATAATGCACAACGTTTTAAAATTAGTCGCATTAATATAAATTGCCTCAGGTTTCGAAAAAATCAGCGAACTGGTGGCCGCAAAAACAACTTATTTTCCCCGTTTGTCCCGTTGCCCAAAATCAACCTTAGCACCAAATATAGGGCTAGTTAAGGGTTATAAATTGAGCATATTAACACAATATTTTCATGCCCATATATGTATATATATAGATATACAAGTATATTCTCAACACAATATCTTCACAGCAATCTAGCTGATAAATTAACCGTAGCCATAAAATAGTTGTTTTTTTTTCGTGATTTTTGTACAATGCGGACAAATTTTTTTTTATTCAAATTTTTGTCTTATTCTATCCTGTGTCAAGTGGATTTCCCCTCCATATGTTCTTGTTCGAAGCCTTTCTTATATAGTGTATTGCGCACCCACCCGTAAATGCTGTCGTTTCATATACATATGCCTACGATGCATTGGTCAGCAGCACTGCTGCATGCCGCTATTTTTAGGCCGAGATTCTGTTAAGCCTATCTACTGCTTGTGTTGCCTATGCTAATTCCTGAGCCCTTGGTTCACTTTTGTGGACAATGTGTGTTCCGGTTTTTGTATGTTTTGCCTCCAAAGCTGTGCACTTTAATTACAGATTTACAGATTTAAGTCATTTGAATTATCGCTGAATCGCTGTTAACATAAGGTCCACAGCATTTGTTATGCGTATGCATAACAATGGGGCATTACAAAAATGAAAAAAGTTTAAACAATAAGTTCAACTATAAACTTTAGTTAAAAAGTCGCATAAGCTTAGCTCGGGGGTTCGCTCTATTTAAGGCACTAACTAAATTGTTTAAGACGAAAAAAAAACTAAATACGAGTATACAAATATCTTCTTGGGGGGGTCTAAACAAAAACGAAATACATACAAAAAATGTACTTAGACTGATTAATTTTTTGTATATGTAAAATCACGTTGCATAAAACTCATGAATGAAAACTTTCCGTAGGCAGCTTCAAAGACAACCAACCATTTATTTGCCAGCCATGAATACGAACTATATGCTCAATAAAACTAAACTAAACTCTATCTATATAATTATAATTTGCATATTTTCCGAGTCAATTACCACAACAGACGCTCAGAGTTCTCTCCCAATTACTGTACTTAAAACGCAAAGAAAAAAAATATCATTAGCTTAAGTTTTAACTTTAAATGCAACACAAGCCAAACAAAATCATAAAAGAGGATTTCATCTTTACGTTTCCAAAACCGATTCCAGCATATCTATATACATGTTTGACAAAACAACAAAGCGAAACTCTTTTTATAAAAAAAAGAACACACACACATTCTCTCCACAGGCATTTGGCATAAGCCAGTGCGTTCGTTGTATATAAGTACAAAGGATACATATATACAAGTTTGCTTTGACCGTCGCGACGAGGGACCATTTATACTTTTGCCTACCGGCAATTTTGCTTGATCTAAGCGATCACTTATGTTTGTGCTTACGGTGGCCTTTTTGTCTATACCAACGCGATAATTAAAACACTTGTAATATTGAAGTTGAACTGTGCGAACGTGTTTTTATTTTTGAGCCAATAAATCGTGCATAGAAAGATACAAGTCTTTCTTTTTTAAGTAAAATTGTTGTGAACCATTTGATTTTGCCATACCGGCAAGTTACCGGCTTAAGCCGCACAATCAGTATGAAGTTGTTCTGACCAAAGGTAAATTTCTACTGCAAAATTGAAAAGTAAATAAATACGTGGTAGGACTCGGCAGCCATTTTGTCTGGAAATCAGTTAAATATGAAAACGGCGACGACGGGAAACACCTGTTAGCTGGTGATATCGACATGGTGTCATAAGAAAATATAAAACATAGAATGCCTTTAAACTTGGAGCATTGGCCGTTTTTCCTTGCCTTCCAAGCGGTCATTGGTAATAGCATAGCCTGTACCACCCTGCAAATAAAAATGGTTATTTCAATTGAAATTTTCGTAAACATTCACTATTTTACACGCTGTAGTGGTATTATATCCCTTTCCTTTAGCTTGCAATTTGTCAAGGGGTGTATCATATCCTTTTTAATAAGCTTTTCTACGCATTCCATGGTTACCACATCACCTCTGTAATAAAATAACCAATATTGATTCTTTACTTATTTAAAAAACCCAGTCTACTCACGTTGGTCTTAGTACTGCACACGGTACTGCATTGCTGAGCACATCGTGAGTGATAGGGCACATAAACCGTGCATCCTTAGCTATAAGAGATCGCTTGGTGTCGCCATCTTTAAGTAGCGTAAATTTAACATCAATTAGGTCCTTTGACTTTAGGGGCTGTTGTGATACTGGACAGAATATTGTAGCATCTGGCATTTTTGCCATGGCAGCGCCGGCATTTGGGCACTCCGAAGGAAGCCAGAAGCTGGGAAGTTTTTTTTCATGACCATTAGACATGTTTGAAATAGAGCTTCCAGCTGCTTCTACCACTGTCGTCGCATTATGTGTAAGTTTATGTTTTTTTGATAAAGTAGTAGGTTTATCTGCTTTTACGAATTCGTCCATGCGTTCACGCTGTTTGCTATCCGCTTGTTGTGCCAGTTCATTCTCCTTCGCTCTTCGAAGGCGCTCATACTCCTTAAGTTTGCGGTGGTACTCGTTTTTTTTCGTTATGATGTACTGTAAAATGGCTTCTTTGTCAAAAAGATAACCCTGCTTGGTCACCACTGGGTTTCTGCAGGGCTGCAGAGTAAGTGAGCAGCAATCAAAAGACTTTATTGAATCCTTTCCGAGCCGCTGAGCATTTGTGCCGTATCCTGACTCAGTCGCATCTCTTTTTTTTTCATTATAGGTGTAAACGGCGCCGGCAGTGCAATTTCGTGCATGGCGAGTCATTTTAATAACAATTAGTTATACCCACAAACGAATGTTTTCCTTCAAACAAGAGTTATAATGTAAAATGGTTACAGCTGACAGAATAATAAGATAGAGGTGGTCACCACATCCATATCGGTGGCACCAATCTTTTTCGGTTATCATTACTAGTAACCAGTGCTATCGATTGCTATATTTTTTTAATGACCAACTAGTGATGGCCTGATGCTCAGTCCCGAAATTTCGCAGCGTGGCGAAGCTGTGTTGTGAAATTTTAGTGTTGTTGATGTAGCAAGTGTTCGATAATATTGAAAACTGGTATCCGTCTTGATCGTCAGCCGTTAATTATTTGAAAATTTAACCATAGATTTTAATTTAAATTTAGCCTCTGCGCGCCGTAGTCGGCGCTGCCACATGTCTACAAAAGAACATTCTTTTCGATTTGTAATTCCACCATTCTTACTTAAAACCAATATGGGAAGAAGTTTTATTTAAATGAATCAATGATGAGTGAACAAATCTGCTGTTTTAGTTTGCGAAGTGATGACTAAGTTGTCATTTCCTTCGGTTGTAGTTATTATAAGCATTTAAGTAAAATTTGAAATGAATATTTTTTGTATTGGTATTAAAAATGGTGGAAATGCCAAAAAAATGCCGTATTACTGATACGGTATCAGTTGCTGATGATGTAATGAATTACTGCCCACACACGAGTATATACACGTACGTAAATACATAACCATAACTCTGACGCAGCATTAACGCAAAAAATCATCAAGGATATTTCGAATCAAAAATGTATTTAATAGTGTAAATATTATTTTATTTAATGTTATTAGCTAATAAAGTAATCGTAATCCTGACTTTCAATGAACTTGTATTTTAAAAACAAATCAATCTAGCGCTTTGGAGTTGCGCATTTTAATAATATTATAATAATATATATAATATACAATAAAATCATAAAAAAATTATATTATAAAAATACCCTCTCCGGTGGACCACGAAAAGAAATGTCACGTTCCACCAAAATATGAAAAATGTTCAATGTTTGGACAAACGTCGATGGATCGGCGATGCAAGCAAAAAACAAAAAAAAACATCGATGCATCGCGTTAAAACATCGCTCGGTACATCGATTCCATTCTTTGTCACCGTGACAACAGTTACATAAATATTTCTCATCTCTATTAGATAAGGAACGTTGATATGTAGTGTAGCAGCTCTTGTTTGTATATTTATATGACTACTTTGGAATTGGATTACTAAACGGTAGACTATGGATTTGGTTGCCAGCATAAATAGTAGCACCAGTACAGAGTGGCAACGTACTGGCCGCGGAGACAATGAAAAGCTTTTAGCTATGTTCGTTCTTGGTCTCGGGAGTCTTTTGTTCGGAATGATTCCCGCCATAATTTCGGAACGGAATCGTCAACGATTTCCACTTGTAACTTCGCTGCTACTATGCTTCGGTGGGGGCGTGTTGCTTGCCACAGCCCTTGTTCACATTTTGCCGGAGGTAATTTTAACTTACTTCACTATTTACTATTTAAATACAGTCTTTGCAAGCAGGTACGTCGTCAAATGGAGTCAGATTTCGCCGAAGTTTCTATGTGCGCCGGCTTCTTCATTGTTTATTTTATCGATGAATTTATAAATTATTTTTGTGGCGGGGCCACGCACCATCAGCACGCTCAATTTGTTAACTCATCAAGTGAAACAGTTTCTACAAGAACACCCACTTCGACTCAGAGCTATGGAGCAGTCGATGAACGTGAACCCTTGCTAGCTTCTGAAGTGGCGTCACATCGCAATGAGAAGTAATTTCGTGTTTGATAGAATATACAAGTTATTTAATTAGTTGAATTTCATGCAGCGGTAATAATGATCCGATGAGCTCAACTTATATATGCGATGTACCCAGAGTTGAGCATCTAAATATGCCCACAAGCCACATTAATCACCAAGAGCCGTGTGTGCAATCAATGACTGGTACTTTGGGTCTCTTTGTGGCCTTATCCATGCATGCGGCCATAGAAGGCTTGACAATCGGGGTGCAAAATTCTGCAACAAAGGTTGGTTTGCCACGGATCGCGACACAAATGCTTATAATATTGGTCTTGTTTTATCAAACTTCTCGCCAGAATATACGCATTTGTATCTTATGTGTCTGTAGCTTTAATCTTTTTAGATAAGCAACTAATTTCATAAATTCCACCCGGCAGGTGCTTTTTTTGCTTGGCGCTGTGGCTTGCCATAAATTTGTTATGGGATTTTGTCTGGGCCTAGAGTTGCGTTCAAGTACGAGTATTCGCTCCCAATTCTTTGGTGTATTAGTGTTCGCTTTTGGAGCCATTCTTGGCATTGGCATAGGCATGCTTATCGTGGAATTGCCCACTGGGTGGTCTAAAATGAGTCTTCCAATTATTCAGGCCTTGGCTGGTGGTACACTTTTCTACGTCACAGTCTGTGAAGTGATTCCTCGTGAAAAGGCACGCTGGCATCAGAATACAGGGAGGAGCGCGGCGGGACTTGCGCAGTTTGCTTCTGTTGGCACAGGCTTTACAGCAATGTGCATAATAAACTTTTATCTCTCGGGTGCGTATAACAAGAATAAACCCACTTTATTAATTTAACAGATAACTTTTTTCCTTGGTTTTAGATGGTGATTAGAAATATCTCTTTTGTAATGTTTTTTTTTAATGTTCTTGCAAATATTATGTTTTTATATATTTATGTACCTTAAAAGATAATGTTTTTATCCATTTATGTATGAACCTAGCCATAAATCCATAGCCCAACTCACAAACGGATTATATGTAAAACTGTGTGGGTCTTGCAACAAATTGGGCATGAATAGCATTTTAAAATCGAAATCAAATCTATCACATCAATTTTTATAAATGGGCATTATAATAAGCATGGGAACCACAAAAAAGAAATGTAGTACTCGTATATACAAGGTGCGTTCCAAAGTAAACAGGACTTTTTGAATCCAGCGCCCCTTGGTGGCGCTATCTATATGTCGACTGGTGCGTTAGAATCTGCTATCTTTATCGATTGTCCAGTGAGAATTTCATGACATTTCATCGATTGGAAGTGAAGCTATTGCGTTTTAAGTGTCAGTATGTTTGTGTTATCGGTGCGAAAATGAGCTTCGAACAAAGAGCCAACATTAAATTTTGTTTTAAAATTGGTAAAACTTTTACCGAAACGTTCCAATTGATGGAAAAAGTTTATGACGATGATTGCCTATCCCGTAGCAGAGTGCACGAGTGGTTTCAACGTTTTCAAAGTGGTCGTGAGGACATAAATGACGATCAACATGTGGGCCAATCAAAATTCGCGATCACCGAAAATTCCATCGAAACTGTGCGTGAATTCAATAAAAATCACCCGAAATCATCATTGAAATTAATGGAAATGGAATTAAACATCTCCAAAACATCGATTTATCGCATTTTGACCGAACATTTGGGGTTACGAAAGGTGTGTGCACGGTTTGTTCCGCACAGATTGACTGACGACCAAAAATTGCTCTCATCGATCGACGCTTGTGACCGATTGTTTGACCAAAAATCACATTTTAACCATTAACCACTCGCCGTATTCACCTGATATGGCACCGTGCGACTTCTACCTTTTCGGAAAAATGCGTTTGCCTATGAAAGGAAAGCGTTATGCAGACGTAGAGGCCATTCAAAAGGCTTGCACCGGCATACTGGCGGCCATACCGGCCAACGAGCTAAAACTCTCGCCCGACATGCTTTTGGATCGTGCAAAAATCTGTATTGAAGCAGAAGGAGACTATTTTGAATACAATAAATTGATTTTGTCGAAAAAACCATTTGTTGTTTTTTTTTTTTAAAAAAGTCCTGTTTACTTTGGAACACACCTTGTACATACGTATGTACATACATATGTGTTATGTATTATCCCAAGAGAACAATACGGGGTGTGTATCATTTGGCATCAGCGAGAGGTGCCGCTTAAAAACCAGAAAGTCAATTCCTAGCAAGGGTTTAGTAATAACAAATACATATGTATGTGTGTACTTTCAAGCAGGGAAGTAACTTTCAGTTAAAGATCTGGTTTACATACATATGTACATATCAGAGAACTGCATGAGTGCCTATTTTTGTGACTCTAAGTATACTTACTGAAAAAGCGGTTGCGGTGTGATCGCCACCGCATACTTTTTTGTCTATTCAGTCACTGACTTAAAAGGCATTTTTGTATTGCTATGACTGGATCACTTTTATACTCTATCATGGGTGTATGCGGTGTATGCTTTACTTTTTCATGGCACATTCTTGTTGTTTTCTGCAATCGTACTTATACTCATACGCCCACAATACAAATATTGCGTGCGCTAGAAACGATGAGAGAAGAGTTGACAAAATCAATGTGATGATTAGTGAAGCAAAGACCAAGTACTGCAAACACCGCATAGGAAAACCGAAACGAAGCAAAGATCAAGTACAACGCATGTGTATAACGGCGTTTTTCTTATTGTTGCTTATTATGTAAATAATTCCTTTTAATTGTGTGAAAATCTTATTTTACTTTGCATTGTTTATAATTTAGCAATATGTACAGACAAATGAAAATATTAGTACATACATACATACATATGTACTTACATCCGATTTAGATGAAATTTAAAACAAAAGTAGATAATTATATAGAAATTATGTGTGCAAAGTTTGGTTAGAGCAGCTTTTCAAATGTAGACGGTAATGACAAAGTATATATATTCTTGATCAGGGTGACAAGCCGAGTCGATATAGCCATGTCCGTCCGTCTGTATGAGCGCAAGGATCTCAGAAGGTACATGAGCTAGAATTACCAAACTTGGCATCCAGGTTCCCCTAAGCCCTAGGCAGGTCAAGTTTGTTTTTTTTATTTTGATACACCCCCCCCCCCCCACTCCCCCGAAATTTGTGTTTTTTCTTATAACTTCCGTAATTCTTGGAATTTTTAATTCAATTTTGGTAGTTACATCCAGTTAGTGCTTATGTATGCCAATTTTCATCATAATAGGTCAATTCTGAAGAAAATTATAGCCATAAGTAAAATCGCTGCTCATGCACTGCCTGCAGCTCTGTCGGCAGCGCTGCCCGCAGCTGTTGTTGATGTTGCTGCTTTGTGTCTGTCTGTATGAACGCAAGGATCTCAGAAAGTATAAGAGCTAGAATACACAAACTTTGTATACAGATTCTCCTGAGTCCGAGAAAGGACGAGTTTGTTCATTTTTCCCGATGCACCCTCCCACTCCCCCCTATTCAAGATTTTCTATAACTCCCGTTACTCTTGGAATTTTTAACTAAAAGTTGGTAGACACATCTAGTTAGTAATTATATATCCGTATACTAAGTTTCATTATGATAGGTTGATCAGAAAGAAAATTATAGCCATATAACCATGCCCAATACATACATGCATATGTACAAGTACACCAACACGCATAGACACGATTCTGATGTAAATGTAAATGTATGTATGCATGTATGAAATATTTTATACACAAAAAAGCATAACTACAGCAGCACCTATAACTCCACAATTTTATCACATGATAAGCATACCCGAGTTTGTGCCAAACAGTGAAACGTTTTCAATTTGGAAAGAAAAATTTGAAATACACATGTGCGATCAAAGTGTGAGTGAAGAAAATGCAAAAAAATCAACGTTGTTGAAATCAATTGGAACAGGCCCGTATGGTGTATTACACAGTTTATGCAGTCCAGATTCACCTGTATCAAAGTCATACAAGGAAATTGGCGAAATACTTTCAACGCACTACACACCACTTACACTTGTTTTTCGAGAACGAAAAAAGTTTCATATGGCAGTCAAAGGCGAAAATGAGATAATTGCAGAATGGTATGCCCGTTTAAAACAGTTGGCATGTAGCTGTAAATTTGGTGTCTATTTGGAAGCATTCGTACTTAACCAATTTGTGATGTGTCTTCCTAATGCAATATTTGAACGCATGTGCGAAGAAGATGAACGTCTATCTCTTTCTAACGCACTAAGAAAGCCAATGATAATGGAGACCAAAGATTTTGCAAACAGGACAGGAGAGAACAACAGTTACGTGAACAGAAGCAGCGCAAAGCAAAGAAAAAAGCGAAACTGCAATAATAGAAGCAACGGCAGTTATGACACTGGAAGTTTCAAGGGCAACGGAAGATTACATGGGATGAACTCCAAAAGCAGTAGCAGCGACGGTAGTGACGGCGACGCAGGCAGAGGTAAAAAGCAGTAGAAATTCTGTGTGCACTGTGGTTGGTAAAATCATCGATCTGAAGAGTGCAAGTACAAACATCTAAATTGTCACACTTGTGGGAAGAAGGGTCATTTGGCGAGCGTATGTAATTCAAACCGAATAAATTGCGTATCGAATTTACAATCTGAAGATTCTATGTTAGATACTAAGCTAAATGAATTTAATTTTTCTGTATTTAGCGTGGCCCCAACTTCTTCTGGTGAAGTTTACGTGTTACCGGTTACAATTGATGGTTGTCACATGAACGTCACTTGCGATACTGGAGCATCTTGTACAATTATTCCATATTCAGTTAATGAGAAAGCATTGATGAAGAAGCCGCTCAGAGAATTTAATGTTCCATACATGGACTACAATGGTCGTCTTATTGAAATTGTCGGTGAGTACGATGCAACAATTGAATATCGATGCGTAAGAAAAGAAATGGTTATAGTAGTTGCGAAAACAATGAGTCCAGCTTTACTTGGTAGAACATTTTTGAGATCGTTTCATTTTGAATTAGTTCAAGTTAACAATATTAGCGAAAGTGAACAATTCTCTGTACTTACAAAACAAATAAAAAGTAAATTTGCAGATGTGTTTAGACCCGAATTAGGTTCTTTTAATGGGAGCAAAATTACGTTACAAATAGTGGAAAACACTAAGCCAAAATTTTTCAAGCCTAGGCAACTACCATTAGCATGGTAAGACCGCGTTGAATAAAAATTACGCGCTTTGATTGAGTTAAGAGTTTTAGAACAAGTTGATAGTTCTGATTGGGGAACCCCATTGGTTCCGATTCTTAAGCCAAATGGCAATATAAAAATTTGTGGGGACTACAAAGTTTCACGAATTGATGATATTTTTGCAGCACTTCAAGGAGGTGTATTATACACTAAACTTGATTTAAGCAATGCTTATAACCAGTTGCACCTAAATGAGCAATCTCAGTTGTTGTGCACATGGAGCACACATATTGGACTATTAAAAGTCAAACGATTACCTTTTGGTATAAAAACAGCAGCAGCAATATTCCAAAAGGCAATGGAATGTTTATTCCAAGGAATAAAAGGAGTCGTAGTTTATCAGGACGACATTACAGTAACAGGAAGCAATCTTCAAGAACACATTTCAAATTTAAAAACAGTTCTTAGCAAGCTGAAATCAGCCGGACTAACTTTAAATGCAAACAAATGTGAATTTTTCAAATCTAAAATTACTTAGTGTTCTCAATAGACAGGTACGGATTAAGCAAAAATGTTGATAGAGTTTCCAGCGTTTTACTAGCACCCACACCTAAAAATTTATCTGAATTACGAGCATTCATTGGAATGGTGAGTTATTATTCAAAGTTTGTTAAAAACTTCGCACAGATAATGAGTCCATTATATGTACTGTTGCAGAAAGATTCAAAATTTGTTTGGACAGTTGAATGTAACAAAGCATATGAGAGAATTAAAAGTGAGATAACGTCAGAACAAGTCTTAGTGCATTATGACGCAAACTTGCCTATTGTCTTAACGACTGATGCCAGTAGT